GGCCACTTATCTCTGAAATGGACATTAATCATATATATGTATATGATTAGGTAGTGGGTAATGTGTTGATCAAGAATATTTATGTTTTTCTTTGAAATTAGTTGTTAGGGCAAAAATTTCGGCTTTTGTCGATGACTTACTTATTATGAAAAAAAATCAAATAACGATAACCGGAAACTTGTCAGTTGTTTTTCTTTTCTTTGAATTTCAAAACTGCTTGTTTCAGATTTAGTGTAAAAAAGCTGAGTCTATAAAAATCATCTAATAACACATAGACCTTTTTTATTGCTATGTTCAGAAAGTCAAAGTATATCATAAATTATTTTCATAAAAAATCAAATAATGTTCATCGAATGTCGATTCACTTGTCTGAAGACTGAAAGATGATGAAATTTTATGTTAGTAAAAATATTTTTAGAATAATCAAAATCGGATTTGTGTGATCTGGTAATTTCTTATAGATACAAGAGTGTCATTGAGAACTGTATGAAAAGTTTAACTGTCGATGCTACTACCCTAGAGAATGTACTGAGTTAAGGGTACCCGAAAAAGTACCCTGTTGCCAGTATGTCACAGGAACTTTTCGGTACCAAAGTACTTGGAAGTACTTTCAGGTACCTAAGTGGTACTTTGACAAGTACCCTGCTACAAAATGTGTAGTAACTAGGTACTTGAAGGTACTGATCAGATACTCAATTGGGTACTATTGTATAGTATTTCTAGGTACCCTGTTTCAAAAAATTCAGTATGTTCAGGATCGAACCTGACCTTTAATTTTTTTTAATTTTTGTTTCTCTCAAAGCAATTTACTACTTTTTTTCGATTTTACTCAATTTAATTTTTTCAATTCCGAAAACTTAGCAGGTACAATGCCGAGATCTGACCGGACTTCAGTTGCTCAGGTATCCATCAGACCCGTTCAGAGTAGTCTGCTCTTAATCTACGATCAAGATCGGCATGTTCTCGACTAAGAAATAGTCAAGAAATAATCTAGAAAAAATTAGTATGAAAATAGATTAATTTCTTATATCTTACCAAGTTGTTTATATGGAACCGTGTGTGAAAAAGAAAACGATGAATGAATAGTCGCTACACAGAACGCGACAAATATAGGGTACCCTGTATAGCTTTCCTCAGTAAAATTACAGATGTGGGTACCCATACAAGTACTTGTTCAGTAAGCTTACTTTAATGGGAACCACACGCAGTACCTACATCAGTATAATTACTGAAAATTTTTGAAGTACCCATATTGGGTACCCTGCTAGGGCTTTCTCAGTACATGGGTACCCTGAACTCAGTACTTTCTCTAGGGCAGCAACTAAGTTTGTCACAATTAATTTCTTGTTTATAAAACACCTATTTCATATATGTTAATACTTGAATAATAACATCGGGAATGATGTGAAACTGTTCAAACAAATAGTCGTAATTTATCAGAAAAATTTATTTGTAAACGAAGGGTTCGTATTACAAAAAATTATCCTAATCTTTTTATGGTTGATTGTTGTGATGATGAGAAAAATAAGCACGAACATAACTTTCGTATCTTTCCAATGTTAATCACTTCTTTACGAAATAGAACGGAAGAAGACAACTTCAAAGGGATAACGTAATCAAGGGGAGGAGAAAGAGGAAAGGTGATAAGTGGACATTCTCTTAGCTAGGAAGACGATTGTGAAAGATAGATACAAGGAAATAAACCGCTTTTAGCAGCAAACAAGTTATTGTGTGGCCAATTTTATACATGTTCGTGGCCAACAAGTGAAATGTGAATAAGGCTCATTGCAAGAAGTAAGAGATGAAGAAATACGTGTACCACTGGAATATAAGAGATGAGAACTCAAGGATACTTCCCTCATAAAGGATTTGAAGACTTAAGAGTACCTCTAGAATATAGGAGATGAGGAACCAAGGCTACCTCTGCAATATAGGACTTGAGGACCTATAGACACATCTGCAGTACAGAACTTGAGGACCTATAGGTACCTCGGGAATATAGAACTTCAGGACCTAAAGGTACCTTTGGAATATAGGACTTGAGGACTTAAAGGCACCTCTGGAATACAGGAAGGTGTGTAGTGTAATTAGTACTAGACTAATTAGCGCTAATTAGATAAGTACTCACATAATTAGTAGTAATTAAGATGAGTGCTAATTAATTAATAATGACTTGTTTAACAATTATATACATTATTGGTGTGCATCGATGACTTTCTGTGGTATATGGTAAAAATGGTAAAATATGGATTTTGGACTCAAGTTTGGATAGCGCCAACTTTGGTTCACTTCATATCACCGTCGTGGTATTCTTTTATCTTTATACACAACCACACCTACCCACACCCACACCCACAAGATGTTTAATTTTGTGCCTTTTATTATATGGTCTACATGTTCTGTTCCAAAAGCTACATAAAAGCAATATCCTTAAATAGCGAAATAAAGCGTGTTAGTTGAATAATGTTTTAAAAATATCGATGACATTCTGTTTCATCGGATTGTCCATCGCGCTATATTTTAGCAGAAATATCACTAGGATCATCGACATTATATCCAAATCGGGTATGCCTAGCAATGCCAGAAAAAGCACCATTATAACCACAGCAGCAACGTTTAGGAAATTCTTCGCGTGGTGAAGGATACCTTGGTTGACAGGGAAATGACGCACATGACTATAATAAAAAATGAAAACAGATTTTTTTTGACAGTGTGTTTTTTTTCCAAAAAAACTTTACTATATCTTCAGTAACACCAGCATTACGAGCCTGTTGCTCAAGTGTTTGTGGATCCAAAAGAGATGGCCCATAACGAGCTACATACATTTCAGGATCTTTCTGAACAAAACCAGGTCTTTCAAATTTTCGGACAACCTTCGATTGAACATTATCATAAATGATTACATGATGAAATGGTGCTGGATACTTTATAGGAGGAGGAGCGGGCTGAACAATCTCTGGGGGTTTAGGTTGAGGCCCATAGGGAGCCCATCGTTCAATGATAATATCACCTAAATAGCAGAAAAAACAACAATCTGAGATAAAAACAAAAACAAAAACAAAAATGAAGATAATTCGTTTACGTGGTTTAGCTGGAGCAGATGGAAAACGTTTGATGATAAGTGATCGTGGTGGAACAGGTATAGGACACAAACGACGAATAACTGTAAAATAAAATACATAAAACAAATTTAATCTATGTAATTTAAATATCTGTTTTTTTAACTTGTTCCACCGGAAATACGTGGTGGTGGTATTGGTGGCCGTTCACGTAAAATAAGCGGAGGTGGTGTAGTACCACCTGATGGTCGTTCGCATATGACAAGTGGTTCAGGTGGTGGTGGTTGTGCTGGACGCACTTCTTTAATAATCAGTGGCTAAAATCATTAAAAAAATTAGTAAGATTAAATTTATGAACAATGTGTTTTATTACTTCCGGTGGCGGAAGAGGTGGTGGTTGAAGACATTGAATAACAACTCGTTGTGCATATGTTACTCCACGTTCGGGTGAGGATCGCCGAATAATTTTTGGATCAGGAACCATATAAATGTTACTACCTGATCTTTCAAGATATCGTCTTGTTTCTTCTGGACCACTTAAATTAATCAGGCTACTAGTTATTCCTGTAGGTTCCTATGAAGCATATTTGTCAATCCTAGATTCTAAAGCACTTTGATGACTAACCCTATATCCATATCGATCACGCCGACTACGAGTATTGACTTTGCGATCGCATCCATAAGTTGATGATTCATATGGCGAGGAAGTCCATTGTTCATCTCTTGACATCCAATCACATAATTCCTTTTTATCAATACTAAATATGTATACATGTATTTATGATTCGATTTAAATTCTTAATTCATACACTCCATCTCGATTTGTATCAACTTCTTCAAATGTATCTTCAACTGCATCACAGTTTGACATTATTCCGAATGGATAAAATAGAAATAAATTCTTAAAATAAAAAAGAGCTAATGATCATTAATCTATATATTTATCATATAAATATCAAAGACTTCTTTTATAACAGCAAAATTCTCTTGGTGTAATAATTAGAAGTATAAAAGTTATTAGTTTAATATTATTTCTTATTATCTAAAGTCTCATGACTTTTTCTTATATCATACATAGAATTGATCGATACAGTTTGTATTCCGTTTTATAGATGAACAGATGAGTATGCAACAACAAAGCTTAATAGTACAACATCATTCGTGCTAAAATATGGAACTCATATTTCTTCTTTAGGTTCATTATACAAATACCAAATATAGAACGCATAAAATGAAGAATTTTTTTTCATTTTTTTCTCGTAGGTGCCCTTATTTTTTGTTTTCATTGTTGCTATTCGCTCAATATATTTCATGTCGTTAGTTTAATATTTTAAATAGTATAAGGATCGAATTAAGTGTCAAAATGAAACTTTTATTTATTTTCATGATTTCATTCAAGCTGCTTAGGTCTGTAATGAGATGAAGAGACAGGAAGAGTGGAAGTCGAAGTCAGAAAACTTTGAGTGAAAACTTACACTCACTATTTTATTCGAAAACATATATAGGTTTCACAGGAATTTCTTCTAAACTTCCCTTCCCGTATCACAAAAACCGGATCATTTTTAGCGGTTAACCGCAATATTTGTCAAAACCATGGGTTTACCGCGGTAATTGCAGCGGAGGAAGCAGATAACCGGTCCGGTAAAACCGCGGTTAACCGCTGGTTTCTTTTCGATTTTTGTCACATGGATTTTCATGCTCATTACGAATAAATAGATTATTTGAACTATTTTAAGCATTTTACAAGGGGTACTTTTCTGAATAAGGAGTTTCCGATAAAACAGTTTAAGATTAAACATATTTTTTATAACCTTTTCATAGACGAAACAAAGCAGCAGACAAGTGAAGTTTCCGAACTTTTTTTGGACTCAGAAAAAAAAAGGAGAAAATGTCGATCCCTAATCTGTTCGATAAATAGGCTCCGAAAATAATTTTGTCATCAATTGATAGAAAATTTTCTTCGCTTTTGAACAGTACCTATATAATTCATATTTGTCATATATCCAAACATGAAATGACAGAAGAAAAAAAGTAAAACACTTACACAATAAATTTGTCAATTTTGCACAAAATGACCAAAAACGTCTTGCAGAATGACCGTTTATTACAATTAACTGTCATCTACAAGACATTCGTGATGTGTTTATATAAAAATTACAAATTTATTGCACGAGTGCTTCTTTTATTAATGAATGATAGATATGAATCATACATCATTCGAAAGATGAGAAAATTTTCTATCAACTGATACAAAGTATTCATTTCAGAACCTGTTTATCGAAGAAATATATGAATGTATCATAAAAACAATTTAGATGTGTTTAAAAAGAGAAGAAACTCTTTTATCCAAGAGAAACAAGGATCGACACTAGTGCTATTACTTTGGCATCATCCGTTAATTTTTACGACGATATGACTGCCTCGAAAATCGAAATCTATTCACGTTTATTCTATGTGTCTGTCGTTTTGAAAAAATGTTAAAATGAATTTCTTCTGTCGCAAATGTCATTTACATTACATGATCACTGAACAGTAAATCAAAAAATATTCTATGATTAGAAGCTTTAATTCTTTTTCTTTGTCCACTAAGAAACTCAACTTTCATATTTCAAATAAGTGACGAACTTGATTTGCAAACATAATTATTTAAATATTCAGGTAAATCCAGCTATTAGCTACAGAGATTGTGGAACAGGCAATCATAGAGCAAGTTTGTATTACTTATAAAAACCTATTATCCAAATTGCACTTACTTATGAATGCTCTAGTCGATTTACAATACTAAGTTTATCTATGTTTTAATCAATATGTGACCTAGAAATTTGAAGGGTGTTGGTCGAAAAACAACAACAATATCCGATATACTGTTTATTGAAAAACTATTCTGCAGCTTGCTCAGCTATTGAAGATCTCAAGTTATTTTTATAGTTATAAGCGTATTTGTAAGGAGCGTCGTTCATTAAACGCTCTAACCGAAGAACAACTTTATAATATTACTAATATATTCTTGACGAGTGCTTCTAACTTGTCTATCATACCTACTCGCAAAAACAAGTTGTTGAAAAACAACACTATAAACTGCGGTATCCGAGGTCGCGGTTGGCCAGGCAGACAAACTTTTGAGAAAACGCATTTAAACGCACAGAAATTGGCCTAAAATCAGCAAAAAGTGGACGTTTTTGGCTCACCCTTGACGTTCCCGACAGTGAGCCAAAAACGCCCATTTTTCGCTCCTTTTGTACGTTTAAACGCGTCTTCAGATAAAAAACGCGTTTACACGCATACAAAAAAGAGAAAAAGTGGTCGTTTTTTCATACTCAGGATGCACGATCATGATTACAACCACGTTTCTTGAGCTGGAAAAATAACAACTTTTTTCTCTTTTTTGTATACGTGTAAACGCGTTTTTTGTCTGAAAAAGCAATTAAACGTACAAAAACGGCGAAAAATGGACGTTTTTGGCTCACAGTCGGGAACCTCAAATGTGAGCCAAAAACGTTGACCTTTTGCTGATTTTAGGCCAATTTCTGTGCGTTTAAATGGGTTTTCTCAAAAGTTTGTCTGCTCGGGTGGTACCGGTTTTATATAAAGTGGTATGCATTCATAAATGCAATATTCGATAGCGGTCTTGTCAACAAGATATATTGCGATAACGAATATCGTGGTTGTCAATAACCAAACCGCAGAAAATAGAACCGAAAACTACCGCGATATTCAATAGCGCGCTAGTTACCGGTTCCTAAAACCACCGTATACTTGTTGACAACCGAAATATCGAGTATAGGCAGCAAATTAACACTACAAAGGATTGCAATGATATCACGAAAAAAAGCAAATTTCAGACGTAAAAAATCTTTATTGCGACCTGAAAGTTTTCAGGCGCTTATGTTTTCTACCGGATAGAGACCAGTAATGGAGCTGTAAGTTGTCTCACCACGAAACATTTTTTTGAAAAAAAAATCCATTTTAAACTAAGATTTTTCGAATCCTACCTCTGCATTACTCAAACAAACTGCACTAATGCATATCGCTGAGAATGACCTTTCTACAAAACGAGCTGATCCCAATTGTAACCGCGATATGTTATTTTGCAGTTTGTGTAAATAATGTCAGCTATTGTCACTTAACACTTCATGCAATGTATATTGAAGTCAGGCAGAATGTGTAAACACGACGAGGATATTAGGCCCAACTACTTTGAAGAAATTTGAAACAAATTTTTTAAACTCATCTGTCTCTGAAAAGTGATTGTGTGGTAATAGAACTTGAAGAAGTACCGTACAATCGTTCCTCGATGGGCAGCTCACGTGCTGTTTTGGGAAAGCCTTACGCGGCACAAGCATTCTGAGCTAGGTTTGCTCACTCAGAAGTATTTAGAGAATTCGTAGTTTTCACTAATTTTAAGTAACCGCGTAAATCAAACCGTTTACTCGGTTTTTATGAAAACCGCTTCACATAGCAGCTCACGGATTCCGTGGTAACTCACAGTTTAAAAAAAATCGAATAAACAGTCCAACTTTCGTGGCTTTCAAAATATAGAATGAATAGTTCTTGAAATTCAACGGAACTATTAAAAACGAACTTACCTACGTTGTTACAATTGTAAGCAATGCAAGAATAGACTGACTTTATTCTTTTCATTCATCATGCGCACTACTCATATATATATATGCATTTATTTTGAAAACAGGGACAGAAAAATATTTTTCATATCATATTATTCAACAGAAGAGAAATAACATATACATACGGGGAAGAAAGTCTTGTTACACCCATAAGAAAATAGAGCTGGGATGTGACGTGGGAATGAAAGCGGTAGAGAAAGAAAGTAACCTTGTCTTCAAGGTTCTATGTCGATGCTCGGAAGATGGGGACATTTAACGATTGGTCGAAATGAAATCTAGAGTACTTGAGCTATTTGTTTCTATAGAATAGATTTTTTTTCGAGCTGCGGGACATAGGGACATGGCATCATTGGTTGAAACGAAACCGAGAGTACTTGAGCTATTCATTTCTATAGAATAGACGCTTTTTTCGAGCTGCGGGGCATGGTGACATTGAATCATTGGTTGAAACGAAACCGCGAGTATTTGATTTATTTGTTTCTATAGAATACATTTTTTTCGAGCAGCGGGACATGGGGACATTGAACGATTAACAAAATTTGTGAAAAAATAACTCTTTTTTAATTGAATAAGCATTTTCAATGATTTTTTCTCACATGAAAACATAGGGACATTTAATGATTGGTATAAAGTCATGATTAACCTGGTTTTTTAGACTTATCTCCGATCAAAAAACAGGAAGGAATGTTTATTCTAGTTTATTCTCATGGCTTTTTTTCTGATAAAGCTTTTGAATCTTCATGTGACCAGTAAAAGATACGATTTTGATAATGAAAAATTGTATTGTTTAATCAAGAAAGAAAACCAATTAGCTTCGCCAATAATTGATCATTTTTTTATGAAACAATTCAACATTTATCTTTAACAAAACTATCTTTATACGATCAAGAAATTAAGGTTTTTTCAATATCATGGTAAAACATGGTTTTAATAGCAATTTTTCACCAGTTATGTGCGATCTTTTCCGATATGTTAGTCTCCCAGATCGACCGTTACGATCTCCATATACGGTATTTACTATCGTATACGACGCCGTATACGACAGTATTTCTCCATAATACATGGGCCCGTATTACGACCGTATATTGCCGTGGACAGTATACAAAGAAATATGGCGAGATACGGAGATCGTATACGGAGTTTTTAGGCTCGTAAACAACCGTATTTCCACCGTATACAGCCGTCAAGAATCCATGAATGATGCTCCCCAGACATTTGCTCCCGCCACAGTTGCTCCCCGGACACT